CGGATATAAAATACTGTCTAAGACTTTTGCTAGGTTTACTAACTGCAGATATATCATTAGACTTAGTCATATTTTTTATTGTGGAAACAATGGGGCTCTGCCCCTCGTCATCTCCACCAATGATGGGTTTCGATATAGCCTCTGATTTCAGGTATTCAAGCTCATTCACCTTCGATTCCAAATCACCTTTTATACTTTCTAATTCCGCTATTTTGGATTTGAGAGATAAAATATTAGTTTCTTTTTTCGATGAATCCTCTTGAATCGAAATCACATCTTTCTGGGCTGAAGACAACTTACTTTCCAATATCTTGATCATAGACTCGAGTGATTTAATTTTCTTGGATTTTGTAACATTCTCAGCCTTGAATTCAGCAATAAAAATATCCTTTTGTGCGTTATGAGAGATAATAATAAGATTGGTATTTTCATTTTGTAGTTGCTTATGCTCATTAATAACCTGCAAAGCATGGGAGTGTAACTTTTGGATCTCGGTATTATTTCGCAACGAATCCCGATTCCACCCCCTTCTTTCTCGATCAAACGCCTTCATTTGCTTTATGTATTTATCCTGCAATTTCTCACTAAGCTTATTAATTTCAGATTTGGATTTGATAGCATTGTGTAGTTTTTTTTCTAGCTCCTCTTCACGAATACTACCAAGTCGATGGCCTTTAATATTTTGTAATGTATATACATTAGCCATTAAATAATAGATAATATACTGTTATTAATAAAACTAATTTCGTTAATAATTTTTATCATTATATAACGATGTTTAATGTTAGATACCCTAGTTTATTAAAAAAAAAATATTCAATATTGTTGAATTAGGTTATATAGTAATTATTATATATTTATTTCAATTTTTAATACTGCCAAAGACTCGCTCACGCTGATATTTCTCATTCATCTATCGATCTATAATAATAAATGTCATTTTTTATCGTTTTATAATAATAGATATCATTTTTTATTATTCTAAAATATTAAATAACATTCTAAATATTTGATAAAAAATCAAACCATGAATACACCATTTCTAAAATTATATTATCGCCAAAAATCTACATATCTAACTTCTGAGCAGATAGAAACAATTAGATCGCTCAAAGACAAGGTACCTAAGTATAGAATTATGAGAGATTTCCATATTAATGAACATCGAGTAGATGATATATGGAAAGATCGAGAGCGCCAACAACAAATAATACAAAGTACCATTTCCACCGAGATATCTACACTAGTCTCATCAACTTCATCTAAAAATTTTAATCAAATTGGAAAAGAGACTTTATATCCAGAATCTACTCTCAATACAGAAATAAAAAAGAAAAATTCCAAACCTCGGTCTAAATCCGTTCGTATATCTGACCCAATACCTACTAATAACTCTAATGCGGTAGCATCTACACTTAATGAGACGGAAAAAATAAATAGTGAGGATCTGGGTACATTATATAAAAAAGAAGCCAAAAGAGATGAGAAAAATAAAGCAAATATGACTCGCCTATTAGCTACTACATAGATCTATCATTTCTTTATTTATACTATCATCTCTGGAGGTGATATATTCAAGTAGCTTTCCGTAACGTATTTGTAACTTTTCACAAAGATCATTTATTTCAGCTTTAGACTTGAGAGTAATATATAGCGATTTTTCTAACTCTTCATAGGTCATGCGTTTTTTTTTTAAAGTCGAATTGTCAAAATCTGAGCTAAAACCCACAGGAGCATGCCATTCTTCTAATGGTTTATTATTCTCACTCTTACTACTATTGGTATCCTGTGAAATTTGATCGGATACCAAAGGCTTATGACCCTTTAGGGTCGCCCCTTCGGGCCTGCAAAGCAATGGGACTCTGTCCCTATCATCCTGAGACGCAGTAGCACAATTTACTTCAAGTTTATTCTTGACTTCGTGCATAGTAACAGGAATAATAAAATCTTCTCCATTATAATGAATCTTCATTTTATCGTTACCCCAATCTACAGCACATTTATATTTTTTGAGAAGTGGATTTGGGAATATCAATGTTGGTTTAGGAACACGTACAACTACAAAATCTTCACGTATAGTAAAACCTGGAGGGAATGTTATTGGGAAATTACGAGCAATGCCAATAGATTCTGTTGGAACTGTTGCAACACCGCTAAGATCATATTTTTCGGATTTATCAATTGGCCAATTTACACGTTTAACAATATCTTCTGACGTAATTGGAGGCTCAGCTCCACTATCAAGTACCAATGCTGGAACTTTTAAGCATTTGATTTTACATGGTATAGTTGCAAGGCTTGTGGCAGGTTCTTTCCGGCGGACAAAGTCTATCTCCATAGGATCGTCTAGCGTTTCATCCTCCCCATCGGAATCAGGTATTTCTGGAGCCGGCTCTCGATAATTTATAAAGTCAGATTTTGCAGGCCCTTTAGGGGCGACTCTTCGAGTCATAGATACATTTGTGTTATTAATATTGTTCTTAATCGTTTCTATAACCTCTGGATCATTAAACATAGCTAGAATGATTTTTCGAATTTGCGAGTCGCTAATCATACCTGATTTCTTTTGTGAAGTACGTTGAATCAGAGATTCGAGACTTTGTCTCTTCTTTGGACTAGACTTTTTTTTAGAGGATGAATTACTCTTTCGCTTTACTTTTTTTTTGATTTAACAGCATTGATAATTTTCGAGATTTCAGTCCCAGTTAAGTCATTCTCAGAATCAGATTCCAATTCAGAACCAGAGCCAGAGTCGGAGCCAGAGTCAGATTTGGATTCATTATCAGAAGAGTTAGCGTCAGACTCAGAATTTGAATCTTCAGTAGCAAGATTAACCTTACCTTTTTTCTTGGATTTGCTTTTGTTAGAATGTCTAGACCTGCTCTTCCTTTTATTTTTAGGGCACTTGCGAGAATTATGACCAGTTTTGCCACACTCTGAACATTTGTATAATTTTTAACAGCATGAATTAATTTTGCTTGGTTAATTTCCATTTCCTCAAACTGTAATCTCAAATCTTCAACCGGATCATGGTCATACACCTCTTCAGGTAAACCTGGATCATTCATTAAATTATCTAAAAAACGATTCATAGAAAGTTCATTAGCTTTTTGTTTCCCTGTCCCGGGGGTTTCTTCAAAGTTTGCCGTCCTTTAGACATAGTTTCCTTCAAGCCCATTAAAAATTTTTTGAAATCATTCTGTGAAAGCGTGATCTGGTTCTCCTGAGGTTTGGAAGAGATAGTTTGTGAGACAGGTTGAGATTGTTCAGATAACATCATAGATTTTACCAAGTTTCTGACTTCGTTTTCAGTCATACCCATATTGCTCGAATAATTATTCTTTCCATGACCTTTACTGGATGATACTGAATCTGAGTTTGAATGCAGGTAAGCTCCAGACAATTGTTCCACTGTATATCTTTCAATTTCTTCAAGTTTCGGAAGTAACTCATCTGGAGATTTTTCGATTCCTAAGCGACGAACTTCCATCTGGTTGGTAGGTGAAAGTCCACGAAGAAATTGTAATCGAATTTGTTGTTCATCTATACCGGCGAGCCTAGCTAACCTTCGCAAATTAGAATAGAAACGACCAACAGGATCACTTCCTTGAACAGTTGAACCAAAAAGTACCCGTTGTTTTTCAGCAGTAACTGTGGGATAATTAGTTTTGAACCAGTATAATTCTTGTCCGAGTCGAATACCGGGTACAACTACAGTATTACCTGTATTAGCATTGGGTGCGTTGGGTAAGCGATCAGTTGGTCGCCCATCAGCAAAAGACCAATCTTCATCAAATACTGTATGAGCCGGAATTACAACATTACCATTCTGCCCATTTGCACGATTCAAGGCCTGTGCTCCAATTTGACCGGCATTTCTTCCTTGAACGCCAGCTAAATTCGCTTGTCCTGTATTATCAAGTAAATTTCTCAATTCCCAATTTTTTCCGCAAATGGTTCTTTCATACCAATCTTTAACGTCACCTTTGAGAGATGCTACAAAAACACCATTCTATTAGCATGGCCAGCCCCTACATCTATTCCAGAACCTATAAGCCACAATCTAAATTCTTCAATATGTTCTTCGGGATCTTCAGTAGAATACCCATTGAATTTTTTTAATTCGTAACCCACCATGCCTGTTCGATTGTTATTGTGATTCTGCGGTATATTATTTTGTAAATCCAAAATTCTCTGATTTAAAAAATTAATTCGGTCTTCCAATTCTAAATT